CTCGTTATTGACGCTTGATTTTGAAAATCCCTCGCACATTCGCTTAGCTCCTTGTGTATTCGTTGACATGTAAACTGCATGCATTCATCGCGCGGATGCACTTTCGTTTTCTTGTCAAGAAACCATTGAGCTATAAACTGGCATAGTAGATCCTTAAATGCTTTAACTGCTGTGAATCAATTCCCTTCTTCTCGTAGAAGATCGCGTGATTATTTTGGTACTTTTTGAAATAATTACAACCTGACTTTGACTGACTTCGATTAATCGGTTTTACGTAAGGTTTCATGATGGAGGCCGATCTCAGCCGGGTTTACAAGTTATTTGTTGGCAAAACTTTACGAAAGTGTCCATTTTAGTGTGACTTAAACATTCCGATTGTTGAATAGTATACAGTAGTATTAGTGACTCCTTTTTTCGAGATGTATCTTTCCTACGAAGATGTCAAACACCAAAGAAACAAGGTTTTGTGGGAGAAGAATTGTTGAGAAAACAATATATTTTTTATCAGGAGAATGATATGTTACCACTGAGTTTGTCCTACATACCCACAGCTGTATCTGTAAACAGTGGCCCATTGTTTTCTGTTACAGTTGCATAAATTAATAAATTAACATAATTGATTACAGCCCTTACGATTTTATATACTTCCATTATACTATCTTTGTTTAACAAGTAGATTCCATGTTGCCATGTGTCTGTTCAGTAATAGATCATAGATGATGTCAAAATGTGGTAAAAACAAAGAAGTGGCACACAAGCTGTAATCGAGTGTGTCACTGATGTTTTTATCACATTTTGACGTCTTCTGTGATCTATTACTGAACAGACCCACAGCAACATGGAATCTTTTTGTTTTATACAATGACCAAAAAAGTGTTAAGACCAATACACATAAGCTTACCTGCTTTGTACGCTTGACTGTTCGAGGATTTGTGCTGATTTAGGTTTTTTTAAAGCTGCAACCTCTACTTTTCGTCTTGGCTTCTTCTTTTCTTCTTTATCTTACTTGTATACAGTTTCTTTGAAAAGTTTTTCAACATCTTCACTTTCTCAAAGCAGAATGATGGCAAAAACATTTTGCAAAACAGGGAGTCTCGTATAGTGATGACACATGATGGCAACTGTTGTGAAGATTTCTTGCAGTTAAGGCATTTTCAAGTTGTCAAGAACTCTTTTTGTCTCTGTTTCCTCACTTTTGTCTTTGTTAGTTGCCCCTGCTAAAGCTTTTACTAGTCTTTCCCTTGTTTAATCTGAAATTATCTCACAAACATTTTCAAAACTGAGTGCCATGTTGAACAAAACAAAGAAAACAAGTTTCTCATGACATCATCCTATTTATCTGTACTCTAATAGATCATGGGCAACGACCAATCACAGCATGTGTAGCACTCATATCATACATAAAGTGTTATAGAACATTTAATATTTTACATTTATTGTAAATAATATTATCGGTTTAACTGTTAATTAACAAACTACATTTCCCTTTAAAACTGTGGCCACACTTTGTAGGTCTTCATCACAGTAGAAACACCAATATGACTAATAATAGGGAAATATACAACTTATGCAATTGAAAAAAGAAGGCCTTTTATTAATTTTTGTCATTAATTTCTCCATCTTTGTATCTACCAGTAATATGTCTATACTAGTCTGTTTACATTTATTAGAATTTGTGTAAACTTATGGGTGTACTTACAGCTGAAAATATTTTTTTGACAGTGGCAGGTCATGTTGACCAGCCCAACAAATTTTTACCTCGGTAATGGCTGGTTTTTGACTGGTATATATTATTTTAAAGTAATAGCTTATAGACCCTCCACATTTTTTGTTTTTTAAGGTTTTATGGATTTAATGAGACTGAAAAGAGTGCCTTAACATTTATTCTTGGCAAGTTTGAAAGTACTGGGTTCATACAGCAATTATTTCTAGACCTGGGAAAAGTCTGGAAAATGGAGATAAAGTCTGGAAAAATGGTAAAAAGTCCTGATTTTCTTTTTCAAAGCTACAACAAGTGCTTTATAATGGAAATTTTTTTCATTGTGGTCAAATGTTATTCAATGTCACCCATACATTTGCAGTGGATCAGGAAAAAAGCTTTGTTCCTTTTTTTTTTTTACGGTTCCTTTTAAACACCTATTTTGTAACCTTTATTCTTTAAAAAAAAAAATAAAAAAAACTGAAAAAATTTTAGAAATTTGTGATCAAAAATACGTTCGAAAACACAAAAAAATATGTTATAAAGTTAT